TGTTTTGTTTTATTTGTCTGTGTTCTAACCTTTATCATTTCTTTCCTGCTGCTAGTCCTTGGTTTAACTTGTTCTTTTTCCATAAGCTGTAAAGTTAGGCTGTTGAATTGATCTTTGGTGTTTTCAAACCTCTAAATATTTCCTGATTGTCCTCATGATATCTTCTTTGGTCTATTGGTCATGTAAGGTTATTGGTTTAATTTTCACAAATTTGTGAATATCCCAGTTTTATTGCTGGTGCTGATTTTTAACTTCATATCATTGTATGAGAAGCTACTTTGTGTGATATCCATCTTTTATAGTTTACTAAGACTTAATTTGTGAACTGACATATGGTCTGTCTTATAAAGTGTCCCATATGTACTTGGGGAAGATGTGTGTGCGTGTTGTTGGGTAGAGTGTTCTGTTCATGTCTGCTACGTCTAGTTTGTTCACTGTGTCAGGCCTTCTGTTTCCTCACTGATCTTCTGACTGATTATTCTATTCATTATTGATTGTGGAGTGTTGAAATCTCCAACTATTATTGTAGCACTGTTTATTTCTCCCTTCAATTCTGTTATTTTCTGCTTCATATATTTTGATGTTTTGTTATAATGTATGTAAATATTTATAATTGTTATATCTTCTTGTATCAGAACTTTTATTATTACATAATATTATTCTTATCTCTCAAAACCACATTTGATTTAAAGCTTTTTTTTTTTTGTCAGATTTTGGTATGGTGGCCACCTCTGCTCTTTTCTCCTTTTACTTCCATTTTTTCCTTTGGATCTAAAGTAGAATATCTTGTTATCAGCATAGAATTTAATCATGTTTTAATCCATTCTTCAAATCACTGTCTTTTGATTGGGAACTTTAACCTATATACCTTTAAAGTTATTAATGATAAGAAAAATTTTACTTCTGTCATTTTGCTATTTATTTTCTATATACTTTACAGCATTTTTTGACCCTCATTTTCTACATTACAGTATTCTTTTGTGTTTAGTTCTTTTTTTCTTTTTTCTTTGCTGTGAAATGTTTAAATTTCTTTCTTATTTCCTTTTGTGTATATGCTGTAATAATTTTCTTTGTGGTTACCATAGGGATTATTAACATATTAAAGTTATATCACTCTAAGTTGAATTTATACCAGCACAACTTTGATAACGTGAAACTTTGCTAATTTACTTCTTCATCCCCACTATTTTCAGTTATTGCTGACACAAAATTTTATCTTTGTAGATTGGTTTCAAAAAGAGGAAAAATAAATATAAAGAGGAGGTTACCTTTCAAGTTCCATTAAAGACCCTTTGGCTGGAGGAGATTGTAATAATATAGGAGGCATAACAAGAATAGCTGCCACCTTTTGTCTGAATTTTTGTGATCAGAAGCAGTAATCAACAATAATAGCACATGTCTCTGACATTTGAAGGACAGAGTCCTTTTTCCCATCCTGGCTCCTACAAGTAGTGTTCAGGCTGTTTCTGGAACATAGGCACAGTTGTCTGCTATGGGCTGGGATGAGGGACCAGTAGCGGCCACTGTGCTAGAGCTAAAATTGACTATAATTTACTGTCCAACTCTTCCTCTAGAAATTGAAAGCAGTCAATAGAACCCAGAGTTCCAAAAACAGTTACATCAGATTCTGCCAGTGCAACTGTTGTCTAGGTAGGGAGATCCAGTCCTGGTGCTTTTTATTCTGTCTTCTTTCCCAAATCCTCCTATTCACTTTTTTTTTTTTTTTTTTTTTTTTTGGTTTTGGGGATTGAACCCAGGAACACTTTACCACTGAGCTACAGTATACTTCTTTTATTTATTTATTTATTTATTTATTTTTTAGTTGCAGATGGACACTATATCTTTATTTTATTTATTTCATATGGTGCTGAGGATTGAACCTAGGGCTTCACACATGTGAGGCAAGTGCTCTATATCACTGAGCCACAACCCCAGCTCTAGTTATTTTATTTTTATTTTGAGTCAGGGTATTATTAACTTGTTGAGGGCCTCACTAAGTTGCTGAGGCTGGTCTGAAACTTGCAATTTTCCTGCCTCAGCATCCTGAATCATTGGAGGATTATGGGTATGTGCCCCCACCTTAAGTCTCCTATTTTGGGGGGGGGAGGGTTTTGAACCCAGTGGCTCTCTACCACTGAGCTACACCCCAAACTTTTTTTATTTTTCTGAGACAGAGCCTTGTAAAATTGCACAGGCTGGCCTAGAACTTGTGATCTTTCTGCCTCAGCCTCCCAAATTTCTGGGATTACAGACGTGTGTTACCACATCTGTCTCCTATCCACTTCTAACAAATGAGAAAACTAAGACACAGAAATTTTTTTTCCCCAAATCACAGAGGTTAAAAAGTGGCAGAAATGGAATTTGGACTCATGGAGCCTGGCTACAGAGACTATATCACATTCTTAAATTCACAAATTGCTATTTCTGTGGAAAGAAATAAAGGGAGTGGGTATATAAAATGAAACCTTAGTTCACCCAACTGAAAAGAATGAATGAGCAAATTAGCATAGGCAGCAACCAATCTGGCTTGTAATTGAAGTAAATATGCAGCTTCAAATTTACAAAGTAGCTTTGGGCACATAATTCTGGATGAGGATGACAAGAGCCTCTTTAATCTATGGGATGGAGAGCTGAAGTGTTCACAGGGCCTTAGAAGGTGAGCAAAACAACATCCAAATGACCTGCATGCCATACCTTGGTGCCCTAAGGAAACAACTGGGTGGAAAAGAGTGTCAGAGAGGCCCTGGGAGGTTGTCTGAGGGCCAGGTTTGCTTGTAGTCTGCTCCCTGCCAGAAGTGTGGGTACCTTTTATTTGCCCAGAAATAGAATTATAGGAAATCTCTGAGCACATTAAAAAAAAAAAAAAAAAAAAAAACCCTAAAAGGACAGGCTATGAAAAAATACACAATTGTGATGTGTGATTTATATGTAATTCTAAATTACTCCTCTGGTGTTTGTTCACAACAATGGATCCTAAAGTATACAAAAATGACTTTAAGCTGAGTGTGGTGGTGCGTGTCTCTAATCCCAGCCTCTTGGGAGGCTGAGATGGGAGAATCACTTAAGCCCAAGGAGTAGCATGGGCAACATAACATTTTCCCTGACTTGGAAAAAATAATTGACAATGTCTATATTTTATCAACTAAAATGCACTCTAGTTACTAAATTTTGATCAGTTGTTCATTGCTCATCATGTTTAAGAAGTCAAGGTTTTGGTCAATTTTGGTCTTTGAAGTTTTAAGAGTTTCTTTAGAGTCTTTAGAAATTAATTAGCAATGAGTAAATACATACTTTGGAGATTTGAAGGATGCAACCTAACATTTTGAATTATTTTTGTCATATTTTTTGTTGGTGCATTATAGTTTACATAATGCTGGGATTCATCGTTATGCATTTGTACATGCACACAATATAACGATGTAATTTGGCCAATATCACTCCCCAGCATTTCCCCCCAGTATTTTTCTCTTTCTTTCCCATGTATTTTGGATTCTTGATTTATGAAAGAAACCTTTTTATGAGATTCCTAATGATGATTTATTTATTCCTAGTATATATTAATGGTCATATAGTGGATCCAGTTTTTCATGTTCCCAAGTCTGAAAGTCAGATTTATATTTTAAATCTAAAATTTTGGTTGGCAGTTCTGCATGTGGTCATAAAACCAGCTGTGCTTTAAACCTTGGGCTCAGATCACTTGTTGCAATCAAAGGGGTGGACAAGGCTAAAATCCCACTTGCTACCCAAATGTAAACCTTGTAAATGGAACAGTTCTCCAATGTGCTCTTTGGTCTATCTGTTCTCTGTCTTGGGTTTTGAAACAATAACCATAACATTAGAAATCTACTGCTGAGCACAATTTTTATGGAAACAAATTGAGATAGATTTGTTCCAGACTCAAAAAATACTTTCCCCCCTAATACTGAACCCAAAGGCTTGATGATTTCTTGCCAACCTCAAGCACAAACTAGCCATCTAAAAGTAAAGGTAAGAAAAGCATCTGCCCTCTTCTCAGGTTATGTGAGTTGAAGTCTTTCAGTTTCCACCTTCATAGCAATAACTTTTTTTTTCTATAGTAAATGGTTATTGCTGTGTATAACCAAACTCTGTTTATTAGGGCACACAAACCATCTTAATTGGGCTCCCCTCCTTCCTCCATTGTCCAGTAGCATTACAGAAACGAGTTATTTCAGTTCATTTAGATGGTTCTGAGACTGTCAATTCTGATAATTTTGGACGAAGTGAGCAGGCTAAAATGGATGTAAATGAATCAAACTTTTAATCATATGTGATTTGAGTACACAGAGCTACAGTTCAGTTGTAATAGAAGGTATAAGAGCTTAAAAGACCCAGAATAATTCACACTAAAATATCTTGGGGTCTTTTTCCATTTTAAAATGAATCAAGTAATTCTGTGTGGTTGAGGATTGACAGCAAAATGGAAACAGAGCAAACTGCAGAATTTTTCACCAGGTAACTGCATTAGAAGCAAAACTCATAATATAGTCTGTCAGTTGAAAAGAACATGAAGGAGCCTTCTGTTTTCTTATGAGGTGCCATAATCTCACAGTTCCTGGCCAATTATACTTAGCTACTGCTAAAATGAGGTTATTAGAAAATGCTGTATTCCCCTGTAGCTTTTAGCAATAATGAGATACTTCATGAATACTAACTTTTCTTATAATTTGTTTATTAGCATAGGTAAACAAAATTAAAACTACTATCAAATACTGCCTTATATTTATGATGTGCCTATAACACAAGCTATTGCTCTATAATATCAATCCTGAATTTAAAAGTATATTCCTGAGGATTGACTATAGGTTAAACTGGTGGGCAAATGCTTTAGTGATCTTTGAAACTTTCATATTTCTTAGTAATATTCTTTTTTTCTAGCTAGATATTTCTGTAGGATAAAATGCATAGCATAAATGTTATAGACAGTTATTATTATATGACATAAAATTTATACATATTCTTGTTCATGTATTTTCACTTACCAGAATTAAGAGGCAACTTGAGGCCAATTTCGTGTGCTCAGGGATGGTAGAAAACACGGACAAAATCAAGCAACCAAAGACAAGGAGGAAACTGTAAAACAACAGTAAAAAAGAGGAATTTGATAAGAAACTTGCCTTATCATTATAGAAAGAATAAAACACCAGACCCATTTGAAAAGGCATAGGTTAAATCATAAAAGCCCTAGTAGACACTAGCCATTTTTTTTTTTGTATATTTGTATGTGACTATATCTTTTTTTTTTTTTTTTTTTGGTGTTTTAAATCTTTTTTTTTATTTTAATTTTTTATTGTGGGTTGTTCAAAACATTACAAATTTCTTGACATATCATATTCCACACCTTGATTCAAGTGGGTTATGAACTCCCACCTTCACCCCATACACAGATTGCAGAATCACATCAGTTACACATCCATTGATTTACATATTGCCATACTAGTGTCTGTTGTGCTTTGCTGCCTTTCCCATCCTCCACCCTCCCCCCTCCCCACCTCTCCCCTCCCCTCCCCTCCTCTCTCTCTACCCCCTCCACTGTATAACCCTGAGGGTCTCCTTCCATTACCATGCAATTTCCCTTCTCTCTCCCTTTCCCTCCCACCTCTCATCCCTGTTAAATGTTAATCTTCTTCTCCTGTTCTTCGTCCCTACTCTGATCTTAGTTACTCTCCTTATATCAAAGAAGACATTTGGCATTTGTTTTTTAGGGATTGGCTAGCTTCACTTAGCATAATCTGCTCTAATGCCATCCATTTCCCTGTAAATTCTATGATTTTGTCATTTTTTAATGCAGAGTAATACTCCATTGTGTATAAATGCCACATTTTTTTTATCCATTCATCCATTGAAGGGCATCTAGGTTGGTTCCACAGTCTAGCTATTGTGAATTGTGCTGCTATGAACATCGATGTAGCAGTGTCCCTGTAGCATGCTCTTTTTAGGTCTTTAGGGAATAGACCAAGAAGGGGAATAGCTGGGTCAAATGGTGGCTCCATTCCCAGCTTTCCAAGAAATCTCCATACTGCTTTCCAAATTGGCTGCACCAATCTGCAGTCCCACCAGCAATGTACAAGTGTACCCTTTTCCCCACATCCTCGCCAGCACTTGTTGTTGTTTGACTTCCTAATGGCTGCCAATCTTACTGGAGTGAGATGGTATCTTAGGGTGGTTTTGATTTGCATTTCTCTGACAGCTAGAGATGTTGAGCATTTTTTCATGTACTTGTTGATTGACTGTATGTCCTCCTCTGAGAAGTGTCTGTTCAGGTCCTTGGCCCATTTGTTGATTGGGTTGTTTGTTCTCTTATTGTCTAATTTTTTGAGTTCTTTGTATACTCTGGATATTAGGGCTCTATCTGAAGTGTGAGGAGTAAAGATTTGTTCCCAGGGTGTAGGCTCCCTATTTACCTCTCTTATTGTTTCTTTTGCTGAGAAAAAACTTTTTAGTTTGAGTAAGTCCCATTTGTTGATTCTAGTTATTAACTTTTGTGCTATGGGTGTCCTATTGAGGAATTTGGAGCCCGACCCCACCGACTGTAGATCGTAGCCAACTTTTTCTTCTATCAGACGGCGCGTCTCTGATTTGATATCAAGCTCCTTGATCCATTTTGAATTCACTTTTGTGCATGGCGAGAGAAAGGGATTCAGTTTCATTTTGTTGCATATGGATTTCCAGTTTTCCCAGCACCATTTGTTGAAGATGCTATCCTTCCTCCATTGCATGCTTTTAGCCCCTTTATCAAATATAAGATAGTTGTAGTTTTGTGGATTGGTTTCTGTGTCCTCTATTCTGTACCATTGGTCCACCCGCCTGTTTTGGTACCAGTACCATGCTGTTTTTGTTACTATTGCTCTGTAGTATAGTTTGAAGTCTGGAAGACACTAGCCATTTTGAATATCAAAATACAGTATGATATAGGGTGTAAATGGGGCACCTTAACAATTTTATTGATAAAGAAAAGGTTGTATGTGTGAATTTGTTTGTGTGTGTGATGCTGTGTTTAAGTGTTCACATTTAAGAATCTATAAGTTTCCAATACAAATCTTTTTTCAAGCAGGGATCCTGAGAAAGGTTCAGAGAGAGAGAGTGGTCATGTTTTCCTACTGGAGCAGACTGCAGCCACTCTCCTATCAAAGAAGCAGTATCCACCTCATGTTTGGCAGCTTTGGCAAAAAGTCAGGTATTCTAAGTCACTGTTACCAGGACACTGGCCCATTGTTTGAGTCTGATACTGCTCATGAATTCTCATTTGTCATTCTTTTATATGAATAAGAAGAATAGAAAAGGGAAGGGGTGATCTACTCTGCTACCTGTGCATCTCAATTTCCTTGTAATCAAACTAACAGAAAAATTACCTCTGTGCTCTGTCTCCTCATAGGTTATTAGAAAATGCTCTCTTCCCCTGTAGTTTTTAGCAATCATGAGAGACTTCATGGATACGGCTAGGGAGTGGAAGTCAGGGGCAACCATTTCCTACCAATCCATCTATAGATTTTTTATTTCAAGAAAGATGGAACTTGCAGAATCAAGGGAGGAGTGGAGTTCCCAAGGAAAATGTCTAATAAAAGACAAGGCTTTGTTTCAAAGTCAATTTTCAAGATAACAAAACAAAACACCCAAGATACCTGCTTTGGAACAATTTCAACTTCTACTCATCTCTGAGAAACTCTATAATAAGGTCCTTGAAAAGATAAATTTTTGTGTTCTTTGTAATAGTGGAGTTAATTCTTGCCTCTCTTTGGCTTGCCCTGAAAAGTCTTATAAGTCTTTCTACCACCCTTCACTGAGAGTGCCTAATGGCTTATAGCCAAGGATTAGCTAAATTATGGTCTGGGAAACAAATCTGGCCCCACATACCTGTTTTTATAAGTAAAGTTTTATTGGCACACAGCCATTGCCATTCATTATGTATTGTCTGTGACTGTTTTCATGTTTCAATAGCAAAACTGGGTAGTTGCAAAAGAGACAGTATGACCAGCAAGACAAATATTTACTATCCGGCCCTTTAGAGAATAAATCTGCTATATAAGGGGGGGTGACTCAAAATGGGGTTGGGATGGAGAGCAAGGGAGGAAGATTACCTCTAGATAGGGAATCGGGGTGGGAGGGAAAGGGAGGGAGAAGGGGAATAGCATGGATGGTGAAAGGAGACTCTCATCATTATACAAAATACATGTATGAAGATGTGAATTTGGTGTCAACATACCTTATATATAATCAGAGATATGATAAATTATTATATAATGGTGTATTAAAAATTGTAATAAAAATAAATAAATAATGTGCACTAAAAAAAGAGAATAAATCTGCTGACCCTGACTAATATCATCTATTACTTATTTCTTTGTATCTATCCCAACAGATAACTAGAGTGAAAGTACATAATTGCTTATATCCTGCATGATGATAATAATTACCAACATTCACAGAACATTTCCTATAGGCTGGACACTGCACTAAACCCCCTGTATTTGCATTCTCCCTCATTATCCTTACAAATTTGTGGAGTAGAAATGTCATTGTCTCCAGTGTACAGTTATGAAAACTGAGGGTGAAGAATCTTTTGTAGCTAGTCCAAGGTTGTGTAGCAGGAGAGTATGAGCACTATGTGCAGTCAGCCTTCACACTGAATTGCTGGATGAGCTTCCCTGTACCTGATGAGGATGGTGATCATGCTCTTGGCTCAACAAGACTTTGGAGACTACCCCTGTATTGCTTTAAAACAAGACAGAAGTAGTTGCTGTTCCAGATAGAAGATGGCTCCAAGGGGAAGGATTCTACTAGTGATACAAACCTAGCACACAATATTAATAATGTCTCATTGATCCTTGACTTATATATCTAACAAATCAGGATACTTTCGATTATATGTTAAATTTATCCCAATAGACTAGAAATTGTAAACTAATAGTCAAAACCTCATACCTTCGTCACTGTCAAACTACCAATGAAAAAATAAAACTCAGGGATCATTAAAGTGGCTGGGAACAGGATGTGGTGTCTAAAAAGGATGATGATGTTTCCTTTCTAATGAGTGGCCATTATCTGGATATGCTCCTTGAGTCCAGGTTTACCAGAAAACTTTAGGAAAAGTGAGCTGGCCAATTGTTTAATCACAAAATATCATTCTTCTCCAAGAGATCTCAGTGGTAGACTCATAATCTCTTATGTCTGTGTCCAAAACAGAACTTTTTGCTAGTTCTTTCCTCACTAACATTTGGATCTGCTTAGTCTTTCCCCTTCATTTTACCACTTTTCCCATTTTCTTTTTTGATTTAATACTACCTTCCTTTCTAATGAGAGTAGTTTCTGTACTAGTATTGTCATTGCTACAGAGGCCCATCTGAAGACTGCAAGCCAAAGACCTCTGTTGCTCTGGTTGCCCACGAAGCTATGGATGGACAAATATGTTCATTAGTTTATCCCTTTCTCCCTCGCCCTTCCTTTTATCATTCATCCAGTTATCCATTCAGTAAATACTGATTAAACATATAATGCTAGTCTGAACTGTGAGGGTTGTAACAATGACAAAAATTCCTTGTTACCTTTTTTCCTTCACAGAATATCAAGTCTATCAGAACATACAGAGAGGCAAGCAGATGTAAACAAAAAAGCAGATATAAACAAAATGTTCGTAGTGATGATTGCAATGATAGGGAAAGTACTGGGGATGATGGGAGCATGTGGTAAAGGATGGATTAGGCTGCTAAATTTGTGGTTTCTTATGCAAAATGAAGATATGGGCATTTTGCTAAAAATTAAGAATTTCATGATAGAAACAACAGAGTATGAATCCAAGTTTAGCACCATTTTAAGTGTGGGAATCCATGGGACTATACAGACTGCATACCCATGAAGCCGAACTGGGGTTAGGTAAGACTTCCTTTTTTTTATGATTTCCATTTCTTTATTTTCAATAAAATTGAGAAAAATTTAACTGAGTTGTCAGTCGATAGATCACAAAAATAATACTTGAATATGTGCCACTGTGTGGTTTTGGCATGTAAAGTGGAAGAGTTCAAAGAGTTGATTGACATTTTTATAGCAAGTTTTGCTCCAGTTCCATCTATTTTTAC